ACCCCCGCCCCTGAGCAACACCCACCCCCCGCCCATAACCACACCCATGTCCCTCCCCTAGCCACCCCCATGTCCCTCCCCTAGCCACACCCATGTCCCCCCCCTAGCCACACCTATGCCTGCCCTTGGCCCCACCCACAGCCCACCCCACAGCCGGCCCCCTAGCCACACCCTTACAACCCCACTAGTTGCTTCATTTGATGGCAATTTTTAGATGGAGCAGGAATTGGTTCTGTTGTGGCAAGAATTTGTGCCGCAGGCCCCCGTTCCAATATATGGCTCACAAATCTCAGAGCCAGATGGCGATTCCCCGGAGCCCCATGGCGTCGAACTCGTGAAACCCCCAAGATGATCCCTTGGGGGATGTCAATGCACCCCTCAGCACCACCCCACAGCTGCGTGGGGACACTGGGAATTGAAGTTTGAGCCCCAGTGTCACCCAGGGGAGGGAGATGATTGCAGGGACAGGCTTGGGTGTGTTTATTACGCATGGAAATCGAACACCCAGCAGATGAGTCAGAAGAAGGGTAGGGATTTGGGGGGGGGGGCAGCTGGGAGAGGGAATATGAGTAATTATGAGACGTCACAGCAGATGGGGTAGTGGTGAGCATGTGCAGGTGCAGTTAGGTTTGGTACAAACATTTTTCTCTGGTGCCCCCATGTGTGTGTGTGTGTGTGTGTGTGTGCAGGGTCGCGTGGAGGTGGAGTTCGGCAAGGAGGCCCTGCGCTTCGAGAATGGGGCGTTCGCATACTACGGCGTACCCGCCATCACGCCGACGCTCTCCACAGGTAGCGGGCCGAACCAGCTCCGGATGGGTGCATGGGGGGGGGGTCTGGGCGTGCGTGACCGGCAGTAACCAGGAGGGATTGCAGTGAGTTCAGCCAAAACACTTTGACACCCCAGGGAGCAGGTTTCGGTGTGAGGTAATCATATTTCACAAGTACTGATTCTGGAAATAGTGTAATAATCATATAAAAATATATTTAAGGAAGTGATATGTTAGCCATTTTGCATCACAGCGCCTATAAAACCAAATCCATCTATTTTCTATAAATCCTTTTCACTGTGAGATTATCCCTGGAAGCACAGGGCAGATCCTGGATGCCCGCCCATCCAAGGGAATACTCCTATACACCCAGACGCAGGGGCGTAGCATCGAACCCGCTGCCCCAGAGGCGTGATGCCCCGCCCCTGAGCTAGCAGACAGGCGGTAATAACCGGTGGTAACAAGGCCGGTGTTTCTCTCTGGCCTGGCAGTGCCGGACAGGCCGCACTCTTCGCCGGGCCATCGGCGGGCAGATGGTGCCCATGCGTGCCCGTGTTTGTTTTGCTTTACATAAGGCACGCGGCCGCCTCTCATCGCTCCCCAGCCCCCCCCCGATCACTCCCCCATGAGGCAGCAGATGCATTAATTAAGGGAGTGCGATGATGTCATTTGGAATGTAGCCTCCACTGAGGAGTTGGAATGCCATGTTTGGGGGGGGGAGCAAGAAAATCAGACTTCTGTGGGCGGGGCTCTCTCTGTCCCTTTCAGGCTCACCTTCATGCTGTCCCCTTCCCTGCCCTGCGTCCTTTTTGTGGGAGAGCAGTAGCTAGAGAGCCGCCCCCCCCCCATCCTGCCGTTTGGTCCAGTCCACAGGTCCCCCTCCCGCAGCAGTGGACTCAACCGCTCCGACTCCATGATATATGGTGGCAGCAGCGGGCAGCTGAACTGCAGCTCGGGGGCCTACCTGCCCGACTACACCGTGCGGCAGCTCACCGACCTGCAGATCATCAAGGTTCGGGCGCCGTCAGCAAAGCACAGAACGCCAGCTCCCCCACCATGGGTCACTGCTCTTGTACCTTTAGACGAGGGACGTCTCTTAGTGAAATGTTCCTGTGTGAATGGGAACGTCACTGTGTCTCTGTGCAGTTGGCAAATACCCAGGCGACTGCCCTGCTCCGAGAGAGACCCGGGTACGGGCACACTGCCCAGGGTTAGGGTTACTGTCCCAGTGACCTTCGGGGGGCTCTTCCTAATGTTGGGATGGACAGCGTTCAAGCTGAACTCCAGGTCGTGTGAATCCTGTCCAATCTGGCTGGTCGACGTGTCACCCATGTCGAATCGGAATGCGGGGTCACTGCCATTTCTTTGGCACTGGCAACCGGATGAGAGTCTCAAGCGTAGAAATACTTTTGAAAAAATACCTAGATGGTTAAGAGCCATGATCCCTGGTGTATCCATGGCAACAGCACTTAAGGCATCTCGGGCTTGTCTGCATTTTAGATGCATTTAAAGCTGAATTTCTGTGTAGATAAACTCAGGCTGGTCATTTCATGTCTAAATGGAGGAATCTGGACTGATCTGCTCTGCAAGTTTAAACACTTTCCCCAGAATTGTTTTATTTTTTTTTTTTTTTAAGAAATCAAAAGGCTTTCATTTGACCTGCTTCAGTAGAAATATTCAGGTCTATGAATGTCCCCCCCGTACATCAGTACCTGTTTGAAGTTGGGCCTTCATGGGGTGAGCGGGACACTTTGGATTTAAACCCAACTGAGGGATCAAACAGAACCACAGGAACTACAAAGTGTCGCAGTGAAAGGGAGGGGGGGTGATTTTGTGCTAATTCTGCAGCAGAAAAAACTCCTGCTGAATCATTAAAGAGAAACATATGGGGGGGGGGCACGAAAAGTAGAATGTTTGAGAGTTCATGGACTGTGCCACCCCCGTCCCCCCCCAGATCACCCGTAGCCACTACCAGAACGCCCTGACTGCAACGCGGATGGACAGCTCACCGCAGACGCCGGACATGGACGCCCACATGAACGGGGGCAGCACGCCGGCGCAGACGCCCGCCCCCACCCCTGAGACCCCCGCCCCGGACGGCAGCCCCGGGCATCTGCCCGTGCCCCGGGAGCTCCGCCCCTGCTCAGGCCGCGCCCGCCAGCATCAGGCCGTCATCCCACACAGCACCACGGTTCTCAACGAGAAGAACCGCATCGTCCGTGAGTGCGGCCCCCGCTCCTCTAATTCATCCGTCCGCCCTGCTTGTAGCCCCGCCTCCAGCCCTGTCATACCCAGTCTGTGTGGCTGATTCCGCCTACTATGTACTTCACAGGAGCATCTCTAAACGTCTGTGTTAAAATAAAGTGTCCGTTCGCACTGTCGGGGGAGGTCATTTCCCCGATGGCTAATCGGGGCTTTCCTCCGACGGTGTAAACGGGGTGATGACAGCTCAGTTGGAGTGTTAATTGTAATTGCTAGACCGCGACGCCCCTCCCCCTGTCTCAGCCAAGCGTGCATAGATGCACACGCAGGCCACAACGCAGTGTGACGCAGCCTGCGGCGGGCGTCCTGCAAACGATGCACAGATGGCGCTCTCAGCGCAATCCTCTTAAGGGTACATGAACACATGCAAGTACTGCGGCTCAGGCAGGCTCCAGCATGCCCTCCCACATGCCTTCGCCTCTTCTCCTAGGCGCCGATCCATTTCAGCTCAGGCATGGCTAAATGATCCAAGATCACCGCAAATCAGACATGGCTAAATGATCCAAGATCACCGCAAATCAGACAGAGATACACAATTCCAAATTTTGTGTCCCTCAGTAGATTAAGGATTCGTGGCAGTGTCCAGAAAGTTGCAGGTTCTTCTGGCCAGCAGCGTAATCATATCACTCACCCTTCAGCAACACCTTTAACCCCAAGAGCCCTGGAGAGAACTGGGTGGTCTCTGACCCCAAGCATTTCCACACTTTTGATAAACGTAACTGCTGAATAAGTAACTGTAAATTGCCAGAGTTCTGATATCAGTGAAATTATTATTATAACGAGTAAAAGCTTAGAATCTTAGTATCTCTAATCTGTTTCCTGGCTCTCTGGCTCCCCCTACAGGCAGCAAGTCAGACGGCCAGAAGAGCCCCAGTGACTCAGTGTTCCTGCGGATGGATGAGATTCCTTACATCCGGGAAGACCGTTCCGAGAGCGAAGAGCAAAATGGTGAGATTTATAGTGAGAGGGCAGGTCTGTCGCGTACAACCCGAAATCAAGGGATCGGTTTGGCAGTGAGGCTGGAGGAACACGAGTGAGGCAGGAGGAACGCGAGCGAGGCTGGAGGAACGCGAGTGAGGCAGGAGGAACGTGAGTGAGGCAGGAGGAACGCGAGCGAGGCTGGAGGAACGCGAGCGAGGCTGGAGGAACGCGAGTGAGGCGCCCATCCCAGGACAGACATGGCAGGGGACACCCTGGAAGGGAAACCAGTCACAGTTTACAGGCACTGTGGGAGGACTGTGTCAGGAGACTGGAGTAATGAAGGGGAACCCCCAGATGGGAGTGACACCAGCTGAGCCACCGTGTCACCCTCCGAATACAATGTGGCTTAGTTTTTGTCACTTAGCTTGTTTGGTCTGGACCTGCCAGTAAAACATTATTTATGAATGCATGTTATTGTGAATATTAATCAGCCTCTTTAAATCGCAAATAGTATCTGTTAGCATGTCTACTATACTGGACGTCCCCCTGGTAGTACAGGGGCTAATTGACTGCCCCCTGCTGTCTCTCCCTCCCCTCCCCCGCTGAAGAACCCGCCATCGTTCCCGTGGAGACGGACCTCGACGCATCGCCCTTCATCAGCACCTTGTCGCTTAGCGGCTCGGAGGAAACGCTGGGGAAGAAGCTACTGCTCAAACTGAGTAAGGCCCGTGTCACGCATCCCGCCCGGCCGCCCCCACCGTGGCCGTCAGCGCAGGCGTATCTTAGCAACCGAACCGCTCACCATTGGCAGCTGCTGATCCAAACCCCGTCTTCCCTCTTCTACACATTTTCTTTCTTTCGTCTGTCGTTCCAAGGCTCTCTACGCATTTCCTGCACGTCACATAGGCTCGTCGCATGTAAAGATCTGCTGAGTTTCCCCATGTTGTTGTCAGCAGCGGCACAGCACACACCTTTCATCGTCTGTCGTCTTATACAAACACCCTTCTATTCATCTTCTCATCACTTACCCACTATTGGGTCATGGGGATTTTAAAGATGAACCCCTTAAATTTTTATAGTTTCTTTAGCTATAGGCTTTTGTACAAAATTAACTACAATTTTCTTTATTTACACAGCTTTGATATTTTAGTAGTGCAATTCAGCACGATCCCCGGGACTTAACCAAACAACCTTCTGGTTACCTCGTCCTTAACTGCTAGGTTTACCTGTCACCCCTCTAGGGATGTTATTTGCTGAATCTAAGTTGCACCTGCGGCTAGCCAGTGTCTATGTGAGTTTGATGCCTCAACACTTGCATCACCAGGAACTTGAACATGCAACCTTCTGATTCTCCAGGCAACAAGAAGCGGAAAAAGTCTCGTGATGGAGACAAGACTCCAGAGGACAACCGAGAACAACCTCTGGTGAAATCCTAGCAATATGCCTGGCTGGGGAAAGTGGGGGCCCTAGATTAATTATTTATGTGTTGGAATGCTACCTGTGCCGATTTTCATTGGCTGGCCAATCAAAGAACAGCAGGTGTGAAAAACCTCACCCTCAAAATCCCTCATAAAGGTCCCAGCTTGGGATGCACTTATTGACTCAATCTGGTGGCTGCATCATGACCTCCAGCCCCTAGGGGAGCTCTAGCCCCTAGGGGAGCTCTCAGTCAGCATCCACGGGACAGAGACATTTACAAAAGAAGTCTAATCTTGTGAGAAGGCCTTGTCACTGAGCCCATCTTTCGGTGTTACGGGTGTTACAACTGGAGATGTACTGAAAGCTTTTAAGTGTAGATTCTGATTTAAAGTGAACACAGCCATCAGCGGAGCAGGGAGCAATTTTAGCAGGATATATAATGAAAGTTATTGGTTACCATGTCAACCTACAGAACCTCATCCACACTATTACCAAACACACAGTATTACTAGTTTCACACAAGAGGTATTAACATTATTGCACTGTCTACTCATTTTGCAATGGAGCTCAATATTACCTATGCCTAGACAGTCAGGATCATCTTTAGCCAGCCAGTGTTTGTCACTGTGTGTCACAAGAGTCCATTTTGTACCCTATTGGAAACACACGCACGGATGAATGAAATTCGAAGGGCAAGCCACTCTTTGCAGGAACTGTGGAAATTGGAGGGATCTTCACCGTTGCCCTGTTTACGTGCAGCAGGATCTGCTCTGGATCGGACCTACGGTGCACGTTGCAATTGATGGTCGCTTTGGTCTCAGGAATCACCTGAGCCACCAGCCACCTGCACGCACCATGAATAGATCATTTGGTGTGGAGTCGAAGGAGGGATCGATGAGAACTGGATCGCCACGGTAACCAAGGTTGTCACTAAAACCCTGTCATTGTGGAGAGGAGAACTGAACAGGTGCTGACAAATGAGCCCTACTGCCCGACGGTCACCAGTAAGGCTCCCACTGTAACCACAGGGGGAGGGGCTATGGACAGATCAGCAGTGGAGATTCCTGCAGGCTACAGGCTGTCATAAGTCCAATCTCAAGATGAGCCGCACGAAGGGAATAAGGAGGGGAGGGGTCGACTCAACAAGACTTGATGTGAATATGAGCATAATTTCATTTTATATTTTCCTAGAAGAGTCATTTGCAGAGGATCCCACAGAAGGGGTATCTAGATATTAAAACGGTTGCTATAAAACAGTTCATTTAAAAGACTAAAGTATAATGGTATAATCTAAACACAGAAATGCACCAGGCACTGGATCCTGCAACCACTGGTACAGTATATCGCTAAAGGGTACTCTGACTTTGAAGCTCTTAGAAGAGGATGGGAAGTCAGAGGAGAGGGATCGACCTACATGATGTGACCAGGATCTTTGAATATAACTGCTCTCTGATGAACCATCCATGACGATCCCATCGCATTTCAACTGTAAACAATCAGACCTACTGCCTCAGTGCTGTCCAGCCAGGAGAGAGCAAATGTTTCGGCATCGCGGTTATTTTTAGTTACAAGCATGTATTACTGCAACCTGTCCTTGTTTAGTCAGGACCCAAGTTCACTCTTGATTATAAGATGTTGATGCTAACGCCTCCTGGTGGTCTGGAGGTCTACCAGCACGTATTACTGAAGGTGAGGCATCTTGGTTGTATTGCAAGGAATTCGAGAAAGTGGAAGATGCCTTTTTAGTCATCCAGAAAGTTATCAGTCGACCACTACCAAGTAGCTTTTGAGAAAAATGCAAGGGTTTGAGGATTTTGGTCAGGGAAACTAGTTTTGTATTTTCCATGGGTTGCACAAGCTGTCTTTCACTTGGATTTGCGAAATCGCATGGTGCGTTACCCGCCTACCCAACGAAAGCTGGATAAACACACAACCAGAGCCAAAGATTTCAGTACCTTTGACATCAGTCCAAACGTGAAGAATTGGCAACGGACAGAGCAATTAAAAAAACGCGGGGATTCTGGCAGCGAGGCCTGGATTTCACACAAGTTCAGAGCTCCTCGTTTTAAGGATTCCATCTCATGCCATAAGGAAGGGATATGCCTGCTCTAGAGTTACGAGAATCACGGGCGAGTTAAATATGCTTCTATTTCTGCATGTTTGGGTTAAAAAAAGAGCATGACGTTAGACTCCACCAATCTGCCAGAGGTACAGGGTCCGTAGTGAGGATGTAGGGAATGAAGCCGGGAGAATTAAAACTCCAAGACGTTAGAACGGTCTGACATTTCTGCTACTCAGATCTTACTTAAGGAGCTGGCTCAGTCCTCTCGCTATAATCAGGGTGCTTACAAACCACGCAGACACACACAAAGGCTTCAGGTAACATTCCTGAAGCCTTTAAACGTCTGCATTGCCATGCAGGCCAAGGCAGTGGTCATTTGCTTTTTCAACGTCGAAGACTGTGCATGCTCTGTTTCAGGGTAGGATGGATAGTTTTACCTACTAATCCTCTGGCTTGTTGGGGTAAGGTTTTATGTGATGTTTACGGGGTGGGGTGGGGGGGGGGTGTGTGGATTTGTTATTCACTCTCGTTAGAGCAAGAATCCTGTCAGAGGTGGCGTCACACTCAGGTCATACGGAGACCTTTCCTATGTCTGCCGTACAGTTGATACAGTAGTACACAGGCAGAGCGAACCTCTTCACTGACAGAGAGCATGGTGTTGAAGAAGCCAGTCAGCTGGGGGTCAGGAGCCAAAGGGTCAAAGGTCACAGCAACTGTCCTGGTGCTGAGGTGACATGACAGGTGGGCTTGGGGATCAATGACTAAAAAGCGCTCCAACTATACTTGGATTCTTCCTGCTTTGGGGAGCTGTTATGGAATGCAAACTTCAGCAGCCCCCCAAAGCACCTTGAATGGGTCACCAGCAACTAGTTTATAACTGAAACCGCATCCAGACTGACTGAGACCCGGCTAGCAGCACCTGAGAGCTCTAGGGAGTGACAGCAGAGACGAGCGAAGCTACAGATTTTATTTTTTAATTTATTTTGCTTCTTTGCAGAGTTTACTACGGCTGTTCAGTAAAGAGGTTCGGCAAGAATTAGAGAAATAGATTTTATACCCATATAAGTTTTAAAAAGTATATATATATATGATTTGTACAAGGGAGAAAGATGAATGATTTAATGTATGGAGTTTGTGGTTTCACAAGATATTTAAGGGAACCAAAATGTAATTTTACAAGGAGATGTATTATGGATCTAAGCAGTAAAGACTTTCAAAACGGTGTTTGTTTATGTACCTTTTTCTTGAATCTTCCTCACATTTACACATTCATGTTTTTTCCCTTTCAAAGATGAACATTACATTGTCCCTATCAGGTATACTCTACGGACAAAAATACTGGGACATGCCTCTTAATCATTGAATTCAGGTTTTTCATTCAGACCCATTGCCACTGGGGTATAAAATCAAGCACCAAGCCATGCAGTCAGGTTTACAAACATTTTTGAAAGAATGGGTCGTTCTGAAGAGCTCAGTGAATTCAGCCGTGGTGCTGTCATGGGAGGCCACCTTTGCAATAAGTCCGCTTGTGAAATTTCTTCCCTGTTAGATATTCCACAGTCAACTGTAAGTGGCATTACTGCAAAGTGGAAGCAGTTAGGAACAGAGACTCAGCCACAATGCTGCAGACCATGTAAAGTAACAGAGCGGGTCACCGAGTGCTGAGGTGCGTAGGGTGTAAAAGTCGCCAACGCTCTGTTGACTCAGTAACTACAGAGTTACAAACTTCCTCTGGCATTAATCCCAGCACAGAAACTGAGCACCGGGAGCTTCATGGAATGGGCTTCCATGGCCGAGCAGCTGGATGCAAGATTCACATCCCCAAGTGCAGTGCCAAGCGTGGGATGCAGTGGTATAAAGCACACTGCCACTGGACTCTGGAGCAGTGGAAAGTGTTTTGTGGAGTGACGAATCACGCTTCTCTGGCTGGCAGACTGATGGACGAGTCTGGCTTTGGCAGATGCCAGGAGAATGTTACCTGCCTGTGGGCATTGTGCCAGCTGTAAAGTCTGCTGGAGGAGGGATAATGGTATGGGGGTGATTTTCAGGGGTCGGGCTAGACCCCTTAGTTCCAGTGAAGGGGAAATTATGGGCAATTCTATGCTTCCAACCTTGTGGCAACAGTCTGGGGAAGGCCCTTTTCTGTTCCAGCATGACTGTGCCCCAGTGCACAAAGCAAGGTCCTTAAAGACATGGTTGGGTGAGTTTGGTGTGGAAGAACTTAACTGGCACACATACAGCCCTGACCTCAACCCCATCAAACACCTTTGGGATGAACTAGAACTGCAAGACAGACCTTCACATCCAGCATCAGTGCCTGACCTCACACGTACTCTTCTTGATTAATGGGCAAAAATAACCACAGACACTCTCCAAAATCCTGTGTAAAGCCTCCCCAGAAGAGTGGCAGCTGTTACAGCTGCAAAGGGGGGACCGGCTCCATATTGATGCCTATTGATTTAGAATGGGATGCCATAAAAGTTCCTGTGGGTGTAATGGCCTGGTGTCCCAGTACTTTTGTCTATATAGTGCAGGACTATTCAATCAAGGTCCGAGCCCTGCCGATTTTCCAGTCTTCCTTCACCCGTGAGCCAGGTGTGAAGCCTCTGGCCAATCAGAATCAGTAATTATTAAACTAACTACCTGGAAAAACTGAAAACAAGGCCTGGATTTGGAATTGAAGGTCAGATTTAAAGCTCCTTGATATAGTGTATTCTATCATGTAAAATGGCCTATTTCATTAATCGAGAAGCTTACATATTCCCAGAATGCAGTTAGTTTCCGCACACATTTGTCTTTAAAGGTCTTACTGCAGTCAGGAAGCCCAGGCAAATCACAACCAGGTTAAAGAGGGAAAGACTTACATAATGACATTCACACCCAGCCAAAGCAAGCTGGGAATTCCAACGCAGCTCCTGCTCAGCCACAAACAGCAACGCCTTTGTTCCCCTGCTTCTTTTCATTGGCCACCCGCCATTTGAGGTCTCGTGGGGGCGCTTCCTGTCAGGGTCACATGCAATGCGGTCACGTGACACCAGCGTTCCTCCCCTTTAATTCCACAGTCTCCTTTTGGCTGATGAAATGAGAAAAAATAAAGAGGGTCTCTGATTGAGCAGAGATGGCTTCAGAGAAAAAAGTGGTCAGCTTTTCTGCTCAAATAACTGAATTGGCACAACGACATTATCCGAGTTCTTCTCATGACTCAGGCTAATTAAAACCGATGGCAAAAAAAAAGTTTTAAAAATGGTCTCACCTAGATGAGAAAGACAGTAATGACATCACACGGGCCACAAACACCACTGATTTATTTTTGAATCAACTCACTTTTATTGCAACATCCTACAGCATGGCATTGTGGTGCACAGAAGCCGGTTCATGCACAGGAACATACAGTGCGTCTTACTTCGGAGGTCATACAGGGAGAGGTGGCACACACAGCAAAGCAGCACTGGATGAAACCAATAACTGAAGCAACATGCAGACAGTCTATGTGCTGGAACTACCTTACCCAGCATCCTTTGTGACCCTGCACCACAGGTCAGGGTCACCAACTTTGACTATGGGTAATGTAGTCAGGCGGCCGTTTCTTTTCTTATATGCAGTACAACCTCAAATATGTTAAAAATAAATATATCTGTACTTCCACATTACTAGCGTATGTTTGGGATCCCAGAAACCATACATAACCATACAACGTAAAAACCAGGGCTAAATAAGACTGCAGGTTGAATTTCTTTATTGTACAACATTTGTAAAATGTTGTCTTTTTTGCAGATTTAACATAGAAATGGAGAAAACACAGACTTTCACTCTATTATTCTTAAAGGCGACAAAGGTACACGCCACTCACGATGTGTGAAACGGCCAAGAATTTGAGTATTTAAACACATAATGTCGGTAGGAAAAGATTAAATCGCCAGGATTAAAATTAAGCACTCTCTCACTTTGATGTTATTCAGCGTCACTAAGTGTGCGTGACTGTGACATCATGCGTTTCCATGGCGATTCCCCATGCTTTATTCTTCATGAATGGGGGAAAGGATTCTTCCGCCCCATTTGAAGGCTGGAGAGTTACAGATTAGGTCACTCCTCCGGCTCTTAGGAATAGCAGCGCAAGCCACATTGGGCCAGTTTGCAGAACGTTACCTAGCAACCGAATGCCTTTGAAAATGACATTGTTCTCACAACCCCCACTGTGAATAAAGGTACCCAGAAGCCCTGAATTAAAAAAAAAAAAAAAAGTGAAACACTTACTGCACCAAACCCATAAGACTGACAAGATGCACACACGCTCACACAAATATCACACACTGACTAAAACACAAAAGAATTCTCTTCCTTCCATACTCAATAATTATCTGAAATGTCATGTGCTTTGTAGGACTATCTGCTATGAAAACACCCCCAACCTCCCCCATTTTCTTTCTCCTTCAAGAGCATGATAACCGAAGCAGGGACAGGAAATACTAGGGGCAGCGGGGGGGCGGCGCTAGGCGGGGAAGCCCCTCCTACTGGATCTTGGTGACAGCCTCGTGGATGGACTCGGCCACGTAGTCGATGTTCTTGCTGGTCAAGCCACACATGTTGATGCGGCCGCTCGCCATCAGGTAGACGTGCTTCTCCTTGATGAGGAACTCGACTTGCTTAGCTGTAGGGGGCAGAGATGACTGCTGAGGAGATGGGGGGGGGGGATGAGGCGGGGAACGCAATCGGCAGAGGCGGGGCCTTGATGACATCAGCACAGACGCTCAGGTGAGCTTACTCATTAATCCGCTCTTGCCGACCCGGCTGCTTAATGACCACGTGAATTACATCATCTGTATAACCAGATAATGATCAGAACAGGAATGAAATAGCTGCCATTCATTAAATAAATTAATGACCGAAAAGATCGCACTATTTTTAAAAACGTGAAGGGAAAACTGACCTAGTTCTGCAAGAAGCAGTTCTGCACAATACACATGTCACCATCATTACAGGTCAATTGAGACACAAAGAACATACATAAAAGGTATTTTACATTTTATAAAGTTCTCATTTTAAGCACCACATGCATTTACAGTACATAACTGACCTTTGTCCAATTGTTGCATTAGGCTGCAAGTCCCATGACCTGTTAGCTGTTTACCTGTTAGTACTAAATACGGGTAACCTGAGTAATGTTCTGTACATGATCATGAAAGGTTGCTGGTTTGAATCCCTGACCAGCAAAGTACCACTGAGGTACCCTGAGCGAGGTACCCTGAGCGAGGTACCCTGAGCGAGGTACCCCCCCCCACCCCCCAAGCACTGCTCTCCGGGGCGCTGAATTACCTGCCCCCTGCTATGTCACAATGTGGGATAAATGCTGAGGACACATTTCGTTGTTGTGTGCTGTGGTGTGTCAATGTCAATAAGTCACTGTCACATGCTCTTAGCGTGTGAATGCGTGTGAATACCAGGCCACTCACTGGCATCTCACCCAACATGTACCCAGCCCTGTGGTCTGTTATTAAAACGGCATGAACGTGAGGGGTGTTTTGGTAGCAGTGTTGCCACGGCGACCTCCGGGACGTACGGTTGAGGCCGGTGAAGCTGAACATGCCGATCTGCTGGGTGATGTGATCCCAGGTGCCGGGGGTCCCCAGGCCCTGCAGCTTGGCCTTCAGCTGAGCCCTCATCAGCAGCACCCTGTCCGCCATCGTCTTCACGTTGCCCTTCCTGGGGGGACACACACAGCCGTTTCCTACTCACTTCTTACCACTCTTCACACCTTACAACAGGGGTGTCAGACTCCAGTCCTGGGGGGCCGGAGCCCTGTGTAGCTTAGTTCTTTCCCTGTTCCACCATAAATGATTCAGCTCAAGAACTGTGTGGTAATTAGCACAAGAAGTTGAATCAGGTGTGTTAAACGAGGGGAAACCCAAAAATGTGCAGGGCTCCGGCCCCCCAGGACTGGAGTCTGACACCTGCGTCTTACAACATACAAATAAAGCATTTTTCAATAAAAAAGACTAAATAGTAGAATAGCTAGCGGGCCTTCTGAACCCTACGACAGTTACAGGCTGTAGCTGGGTTAAGAACATCCTACCTATGGAAACTCGTACTTATGAACGGCCATAAAGCTATTAAAGATCGAAGGTAAATACAGTGGCCCGTCATAATGAACACACACTGCTTCGTGACGCTCCTGAAAAAATCGCGCGTCTTCAGTGATTCGTCAGCTCGGGGTACAGTACTGCATGAAATTACTTTAATTACTACTGTATTATTTTTTACTATATTATTTTGTTCCATCTTACCCACAAATTCAGCTTACAGACAGACCTAGGGAACGGATCTCGTTCGGAACCTGGGGACCTGCCTGGACTTTGGTTCTACCCATAGAGAAAGAGCTGACTGCACAACCCCATCGAAACCTAAGGCACTGTGCAATACCAGCGATCGGTTCCCATAATCCAAATGGTTTCCAAGCGAGTTCTCACACAGTGTTCAGGGAGCACTGTGGGGCCGCTGTGCTCTCACAACAAGAGTGCCACCGTGTGGAACTTAAGCAGAATGACCAGGAGTGGGCCGTACCATTCCTCAAACAGCTCCGGCGTGGTCAGCGTGACAGCGACTAGACGGGCACCCTGCGAGGGGGGGTTGGACCAAGTGGTCCTGACGATCTTCTCCATCTGGGACAGGACACGGGCCAGGTTTTCACCATCGTTGGCAACAACAGTGAGGTTCCCCACTCTCTCGTCTAAATGAAGAGGACCCAGCTTTCAGACAGACATGCTGAAATGTTGAGGCTTAATGACAGTTGGTGTATCCATGGTTTACAAAAGAGCAGAACACTTTTGAATGTTACAATGGATACTTCTGTGCCACCAAATAACTGCTAATGCTGTCTGTGTTGAAAATCAGTATAAATCCCTGGAGTGAAATGCAATGATGAATTTTGGTCTGATGATTAATATGACCGATAAACCACTTGTGTTTTGATTTTTCAAGAAAAATTGCTTTCAAAAAACGTTGCCGAATATACAGATCTTATGCAGTCTCTGGCACGTTCTCCTCAGAGATACTCACTGTACAGTCCAAAGTTCTTGGAGAAGGACTGAGCACAGAAGATCTCAAAGCCCTGGGAGACAAAGTAGCGGACAGCCCAGGCATCCTTCTCCAGGCTGCCAGAGGCGAAGCCTTGGTAGGCGGAGTCAAAGAAGGGGAAGAGACTCCGCCTCTGGAGAGACAAACCAGAAGCGAAGGTCAGATGGCAGCATAGAAGCTGGGCATGTGCCATGAAAAGGCTCTGAAAAACAGCTGTTTTGGTGAAATCCATCAATCCATCCATTGTCCAACCCGCTTATCCTACTGGGTCGTGGGGGGTCCGGAGCCTATCCCAGAAGCAATGGGCACGAGGTGGGGAACAACCCTGGACAGGGGGCCAGCCCATCGCAGGGCACACTCACACACCATTCACTCACACAAGCACACCTATTTAGCAACGCCAATTAGCCTCAGCATGACGACGACACGGGGAGAACATGCAAACTCCATACACATGTGACCCAGGCGGAGACTCGAACCCAGGTCCCAGGTCCCAGGCAACAGTGCTAACCACTGCACCACCATGCCGCCCCCCGTTTTGGTGAAATATTTAGTGTAAATAGTCAGAAGTACAAAATATAATCATATTCATTTGGTCAAACATATCTGCCAAGCACACGGATTGGGGAAGGGGGGGACATGATTTGGTAGGACAAGCTTGACACTCTAACATGAGCCATCCCATCATAGCTCGCCCCCCCGCCCCCGAAGCCCACTGCACCTTCATGACGTCTGCGATCTGCATCCACTCCTGCTGGGTGGGGTCAGTGCCGGTCGGGTTGTGGGCACAGGCGTGTAGCACGATGATGGAGCGTTCTGGGGCATTCTGCCGGGAGGGAATGGAGGACAGGAGGGAGCAGAACCATTAGACAGAGCAGAGACCCAAAGCACATTCACCCGAAATGGGAATATAAAGGCACAGAATCTAGACTTCCAGACAAGATAAGAATCCAGAAATGGGAGGCAAAGGAGAGTGGCGGAAGAGACAGATCACGGCGGGGGGGAACAAGACTGAACTAAATGAGGAAGGAAGAGGCCATTAGATACGGCTCTGCAAGCCAGCAAAAAGGAGGACAAAGAAACAAGATGGGGAGAAGTTATGGGCATGGAGTCACCATCCATCTACAGACCTCCAACCTCCTCGGCCAGCCTCACCTCCAGGTCAGCCAGGAAGCCGCCCAAAGCCAGCCCACGCTTCTCGGGCTCCCAGTACCTGTACGTCCGGATGTCCTGGAATCCGGCATCGACAAACACACCATTGTGGTTCTCTGGGATGGGGGGGGGGACATCAGTAAGTATAAGGGGCGTATAACAAGGCAGACCTCCTTCCAGCTGCAAGACTCCACCCAGAATCTCGATGACCTCACCGCCCACACAGTCACATGCTAGAGAGTATCTTGGGAAGACAGAGAACCTCAAGTAGCTGACAGAACTGTGTCTTTAAATGCGCTTCCTATCACATGCAGGTGTTCCGGGTCGCTGGTTTGAGTCTGCATACAGCCGTCGTCATTTTATAGTTATAAACCAGTACAAGTTCCCTATTAATAGCAGTAACATTTTATTGCCTTCCCCTCTGCTGTAATTACGTTTTCTTTTCCCACTGCTGTTCAGCAAGCACCAAGAAAAGAGGCCACAATTACCAACCATGACTGAGCTCGATTTCCTGTAACGCTTAAGCTACCAGGAATGCACCAAATACTCCCCCACTCACCCCACGTCGGCGTCGACACATAGACAGGTGTGCCCGTGTTGTTGTTCCCGTTGTACCACCGTCGAAGATACTCTGCTCCGACCTTCAGGGCCCCCGTACCTCCCAGGCACTGGACACCTCCCACCTGTATGACAGGTGAGGGGCGAGTGCAAGGCACATATGACATATAATACGGTTCCGTAAACATCCATGTCAACAAGACCTCAAATGTTGTATCTGCCGAGTTGAGTTTTACCCCATGTCAGATCTTCCAGTAAGTCGGTGGACTAAAACTTACATTGAAACAATCTTAAAATCATAAATCCCCGATTCCCAAGGACATTGTGAGCATAGTCCTGCTTCATCTCCGGTGGCGTTGGGGACCTACCCGCTTCTCTTTGATGGCAGGGCTCTCCTCCCCTAAGGCAATCTTAGATGCACTACAACGAAACTCTGGCAGACCCAGGATGGGCAGGTACTCGTGATTGAGGCTCTGATCCTCCACAATAATCTTCTCTACCTTCTTCACCACCGGCAGCACCCATGGCTGGCAGTCATCGGTCCTGTATGCTGGAGGGGCAGGAGAAAAAAGACGAAAGAGGTACAAGACCGCATATTAGGACCAACGTGCGACTTCTGCATTTATTTATTTACGGAGCTGCTCAAGGGCCGAATGGTGCAATCGCTAAGCCAACCACAAGATCTGAACCAAGGACCTTTACATCACCGGTGCAGAGTCCTAAAGTGATGAGCTACACACACACATCCCACTAGCATGAAAGAACTTCATATCTAAAGGAGATAACCAGCGAAGTCAGCAGCCCCAAGCTTTATTTTATATGGTGCAATAAAGGGCAACCCCTTGCCTTCAGTTCACAAGTTCACAGACACACCATCTAATGGCTACCGTATGCATAAAATGTCTCCCCACTACTGTAGAAGCAGCGGAGGCTGATAGGGCGGCCATCGGTGTCCGGTTACTCATGTTCGTTCCACACCCAACACGTTAGCCATGGTTTGCCCAACAACTTCCTCAGTGGAGCCCAAGGTCATGCTGAGACTAACAGCTCACGAGTACAACAGGGAGAAACGCGATCAGGCTCCCTCTGGCCTGCTGCCCTCAGACTCATTGTTATTAACGAGGGAACAGAGCCAATCAGGAGGGATGGGCAGGGAGGAGCAAATGAGAGAGAAAGACATGCAAGAGCAAGCCAGATAGGCAGTCAGCAATGCTCGAAGGTGAGAGAGCCTGTTCCCTCCTCGATGCCTGCATTGGGTTGCCATCAAGCTGCTAAAACATTTGCTCGTCGATCTTCTCCTCGGGCAGCTAATGCTGAAATACGGCTAAAGGTTTCCAACAAGGCATTTCAAGTTCACAGCGCTACTTAGGGCTCCTCCTTGCCCTGCAGACCACTGCTGTTCCAGGAACGTCACTTTGAGTCAGTGATACACAGCAGCCTTGAGCAGGTGTGGACGGGGAGGGGTGGATCGTTGAGAGTCCTGAACCACCATGTTACCCAGATCACACAGAGTAAACATGTTCCTCAGAGATCTCACAGACTCCAACCCCAGCAGACCGACAAGACAGAAGACATTCTTCTGCCATTCACGGGTGACCACACGCAGCGAGCGATCTTTATAGCCTTCCTAACCCACCCCCAGGCTGACGTTTTGGTGCAGTTCAGACCACTCCACGTCTGCCTTATTCACCAGCATCTGTACTGCTAACGAGGGCGGAAACCTTTCAAGCAGCGAAAAGTACTTTGTTAAACATAAATATTGAGCACTGAAAACGAAGAGAAGAAAACAGAAAAAAATCAAATGCATAGAATGGGTAGAAAATATTCCAGTGAAATGTAATAATCTACTGTAAGATTATCTAAAAGGTTTACTTTTTAAGAAATCGGTCTCCCATGCAGTCACCCGCCACCTGGGCTACATTAAACTCCGCGATAGATGTCGCTTTTTCACCCAATGCATACTCGCATGGCCATCCATACAAATAACAAATATACAGACTGATAGGGAAGGAATTAACCAGGACGAAAACTACTTCGGCAATGCTGCTTTGAGACGCGCTGACAGCTTCCTAATACCAATTAGTTTCATTATAGACGATCTTAGATTTCTGCGGATTGTACGTTTTGATTCCGCTCCAGTCACGCCGAAAGGTGACATAACCACTTCGTGTAATGAAATTCCATTTTTTACGTCTTGATTCACTGAAGCAGGTAAAGCATTACGTCAACATTTAATCTGATCATTAATGTTTCTAAAAATATATTTCCTCACCTCCTACACCCAAGTTGACCTTCCTCGGGTCGGTGTCCTCCCGAAAGTCGGCCGTGAGCTTGAAAACAGCCACGGGTGCGGCTTGCGGGACTTCGCTGAACACCGACATAGCGGTATCTGAGAAGCGTGGAAGGCAAGTGCAGCGGGACTCTGCAGGCGAACGACGCGGGCTCAGGCGGCAGTGGAATGGGCGACTTTCACCTTCAGACGGAGTCTCCGAACAAACGGGTGGAGGCGCACTGGCCAATGAGCGCCTCGCCGCGCCGCCGGCTCGCCCTCGGACCGACCAATCACAGGGAAGCTTGTAAAAGGTCAAGGGCTGATGTTGACAACGCGGTAGGCACAAGTTTCAACGTCAAGGGTGAGATTGACAGGCGTTCTGGCCAATGATCTATCTATTTAGATTATCAATGTTTTTAATGATTAATTATGTTTTATTTGTTGTTATTGTGATTCTGTTAATGCATGAATACGTGATACTTAATATTTTACTTTAAATCCGTGCTATTTCACAGTTATACAAATACAGAAAGAAACCATTAGGAACAATAAACGTCAATGACTTTAACAAGCCATAACTGTTTGTTTTCCTCATTATGTTTGACTCTATATCTGATAACCATATCCATGGCTTGTACGGATGTGTGAACGCTTTGCAAAGTTGAAGGAATTAATTATTCCGCCACAAGGGGGCAGTCAGCACCCGGGATTTGAGTTTTCTACCTTTATTTCATTTTGTCTAAAGTACAGGGTCTAAATTCACTCTGACTTCCCTCCCAACCACACACACACACCTTATCGGAGGATTAAAGGGCCTGAAGATAGGAAACAATAATACCTCTGTCAACACTACCTCACCTTTCTTAGATTAAGCACACATTACAGAAGCAGGGCTATAGATCAAAATGTGGTCTTGGACACGTGCCGTTCGTAGGTTTTCTTCGGTGAGCTAAACACTGTCAAGTTTCATGTTTCTTTGAAAACCCACTCAAAAGAAGTTAAACAAATTTAAAAAAACACAAACGCGAGCGTGTGGCAGCCTCCACACTCACCGGAAAGCGGACTTTATGGCAGCACACAGTATCTGGCCACCTTCCATTTTTCTTTTCCTCCGACTCCGTGTAAACACGCCGGCATTTCAGCCTCTCCCTTTCTCTCTTCCTATTCTCCTGCCCGACACGTAAAGTGCATGATAAATTAAGGCTCCTCCGGTTCGTATGTCTTCCTCGCTATCCCGCGCACCACCCATAGAGGGAGGCCGCCACCGGGGTAACCTCTCATCTCGCAGTCACGTGGGCTGGGAAGTCGCTCCTCTGTTTCACAGCTCTTTTTCCCCCTTAAGTGGCTGTGGATTTGCACCTGTGTTGGATTTCAAAGGGCAAGCGGATAATGTAGCCGCTTGGCAGCGATTGGCTCAATTTGTCAGACGCATCGCAGTCTCGTCTCCAGGCCTCGGTGTCCTCTGGGCGCCGGGATTGTGGCAGCTTCCCCCCTTGCTCATCTGGGCCACGTCATTCACGCTTTAATTGCCGTATTCGCTTCAGCGACTCTTTTGTCCAGTGTGACTTCATTAGGTTGCCATTTGTCCGTTTCTGTTACGTGCTCTATCATGTCCCGAAGCTGTCTAGTGCCTCTGGCAAAGCTTGAACCTACAACCTCTTGGTGCAGCTCCCCACCTACGGCAGCCTTAAGACATGTGAGGGCTCCCAGGGACGGTGGACGGTGTTTTGTTTGTAGTTCACCTAAGCAAAACCTGCATGAAAGCACGCACCAGTGCATCTGCGCCCACTTCCTGCGGGCTATTGCCAAACAGCGTATCTTAAAGCAAATCATCTGCCATGGTATCGCATTTCTCACATGCAGTGGAGATGTGATGCACTGTAAAGAGCCCCCTACCATTTCTGTCATGTCAAAAAAGCTACATCATAATCAAGCACCATAAGAACGGAGGTTTGGCTCTCGTGATCGGGCTGGAGGGAGGGAGTAAAATTCCGTAAAGTCCTGAGTTTTATTTTCGCATGCGTATTTTCACACGCATGACAGATGGTCCTGGTGAAGTTCAGCAATGGCCATCCTGGCTGTGTGGTTCATCTGCCCCACCAAGGGGTAGCGCTCCACACTATATTGCCTACAAGGGCCAAAAAACCCCGTACATACGCCGACACTGAAACTGAAAAAAATTGGGTTCTGCTTAGATTTTTTCTGTGGATTTTGTTGGCATTGACTGTGATGGGTTGATGCCCCATCCTGGGTTGTTCTCTGCCTTGTGCCCATAGCCTCTGGAATAGGCTCCAGACCCCCAGTGAGCCTGAACAGTCATTGTGATTTTCACGCTGTTTTCTTCCTGAGCACAGTTGAAGACGTTTCATCACAAGCCTAAGGGAACCTATTTTGGTCACAAGTTAATTTTGATGAAATTTGCTGTTACTGTTTGGTACAGCAGTATAGCGGCTCACATTACCAGCACTTCTCAAATGGATTAAATGGATTTGTGCTGCTTTGCCAGGCTGTGGCTCTCTCAGCCTGATCATCCCAGGGTTCGAGGCCTGAAACATGCATGATTATCTTGTCCTGGGTTGTTGCCCCAGGTGGGGAACTCCAAAAAAGGCAGGAGTCGCCTTCACCTGTCAAGATGCACCCCCCCACCCCGCATGGGCCCTCATCCCTGCCCGTGTGTGTCATGTACAGTGTGTGTTTTCATTCCTGACAGCCGGGGAGAGGGGAAGCTCCCTGACCTGTAAGCCCCTGCATTTATGGGATTTACGAGCTCACAGAGCAGAACTCGGGGCCCAAACTGAGGGGGGGGGGGAGGGGGGCTCCATGCCTGGGGGGGCGTCAAAGCTGCCTGCAGACAAGATACTGCCCAGGACTGTGAGTGACCGTTCGTCAGCGTAAACCCTCACACTCTGGCCAGACGCCCCCCCCCCCCACCCTCCACCCCAGAGCCCCCCAGGCCACCACTCCTCCAGAAGGCAAGGCTACTCCATGGCGTTCATGGACGCAATCCCCCAGCATGCAGCATCATGCCCAGGTGACACGGCGGGGTGGGGGGGCTCCATTCCACCATCATGCAGCAGAGTCCTGAAGCTACTTTGCTGAAGCTGTAGTTACATTATGAGGGTCAGATGGGGGGTGGGGGGTGGGGGGGTGCAGAAAAGACGTGAAGCCAGTGGACTGGAGCTCGACCCAAAATGCCAATGCGCAGAGCCCCTTGACCGTCACTGGTGGCCTTTTACTAACAACGAGACGCAGGGACATTTCTACCCCCCCCCCC